TCTGATGTCAGCAGGCACCTTGTCACCTACTCTAACTTCAACTATATCTCCAGGGACGAGTGATGTCGAATCTTGCGTCACCCAAGTGCCGTTATTTCGCAATACGTGTGCGTAGGACGGCTGTAGCGACTTGAGAGCCTCTAGGGCGGCTTCAGCGTTGGTCTCTTGCCAGACGCCTACTATTGCATTGGCAATTAGGATGAGTAGGATCACCAAGGGCTCGACATACCTACCACGAAGAGTGCCATTAATAACAGCGCACGCCTTAGCCTACGCCAACATTCCCTCGTCGTTGTTTTCATCATCGAAATATGCCAAGAGAAACGATATGAATGCTGCCACTAGCAGGATCTTCACCATCAAATCGTCGAACTGTTCCAATATGAGAGCCAACAGGGACTTGCCTTCCGTCTGAAAACAATATAATACACATTTACATACCCCTAGTGATAATCGCAAATACTTTGTCCAGTTCATTGGGACCAAACTTGGCAGCTTGAGCCTGGACTTGAGCGTCCGATAAGCCCTTCTCGAGAGTGACGTTGAAGAAATCCAACGTCTCTTGATAGTTTCTCGCGTAGGCCAGTCTCCTTATCGTGTCGTCATCTAGCTTCTTGTCACCAGCGCGACTAGTCTTAGTTTTCATAACCGAAGTTTTATTCAGGATGCAGCTCTCGTTGATACTAAGGTGATCAGCGATGGAAGGTCAGAGTCCTCAGAAGAGAAATTAAAACCCACTGCGAATAGACAATACTTATCCTCGGCTGCAGTCAAAACCCCGACCTTACCATAAGCTGAACCGATTTTCTAAAAAAGCGCGCGCCATTCTAATCGATTTGCATTTCGCGTCAGCCATCCACAGTCTTCTATAAGTCTTTTATAATGAATCGTACCTTAACTGGCAGCAGTCTGGGTTCGATCGGGCAGGATGAAGATCTTTTTGCGAGTAATCTGTGGCGAAAAAGGTGACCTTGGCCGATGAGAATCCATAAAAATTTTAGTAGAATCGCTCATCAGAATACCTCCACCGATCAAGAGCAGTACTAATCTCAATAACAGATCACAAGGAAGAAGCGACAGTATCACAACTACGACATTCCTATCACGTCCGACCGTACAAGGGCTGATAATAGCGTATTGTTTGATCTCACAGCTCATAGTTAGTACTTGCCTTTGCACGGAAGAGCCCTTGAGGGAACAACTAAATGACGTTTTGCAATCTATCGGTTATTTTGGTATCAGCATGGTGGTTCAATTAGGAACGATCATTATAATAAGACTAACAGTGAGGA